AATTAGAAATATTGAAGATATTTGTTAGTTCTTCCACGAAAATGCTGCTTGATGATTGTAGGTAAATATTGATCACTGTTATGCACTGCTCACCAAAGGATACTTTGCAAGCGACGAATTCCGGGAAGTCGGAATCACTTGAGTGAACTTGGTGAGGAGGTAGATCCTTTCTGACGCACAGATGCCCTCTGCTGGGACAACTTCGACGAGCTGACTTATATATCGCGTAGTTATAGAGGCGGGAATCATCATTCATGTCTACCTCTTGGATTCAAAGTAATGGAAAGTTATATTTCAAAAGGAGTTTACGGAAGTCAGCACACTTCCTTCGAAGACTGTTGGCGTTCCACTGGTATACGGAGACATTTTTATAGCGCTTATTCATATGTTACTTGTCGCAGGTTTGACGCGGATTGTTGACACAATAGTGCTTCCAGAGGCAGCAGGGCTTTTACTTGTGGCTGGTTGTTTGCTTCCGGTAGAGCAGACAGGATTGCCATAAGTGCTGCAAAAAGCATTAATATAATTAATTGCATTACTGATGGAGAGGCATGGTCCCCATTTAAAGGTTCAGTTTCTGAGGGCTGTTGAGAACGACGTGACATTTCGATGTTGTAGATGGGGTGAACACTGGCGCTCTCGGTTCTGCTACTTTCCGGCTAAGGTCGCGTGGGCGTTCGCAGCTTTGACGTGTAGGTTGGGATACTTGAATGTGCTTCTCGTGAGTGATCTCTCGGGTGTGCTCTTGGTGGTTCTCTTGGCGTGTTGGTCGGTTGTTGTTGTATCGCTGTGCGCTGAGGTAGGTCATGTACAGGATGAACAATCTCAATGTTTGGAGAGGGCTTGCTGGGGTGCGGTTTTCTTCCTTGAATAAGCTCAAGCCGACGCATTTTTGCAGCAGCTTTACTTTGCCAGCAGCCTGAATATGAGGAAGCGTGATTACCTGCACAGTTTGCACTTTTAGGCTGAAGAACTGACTTGCACTCCTTATGGTGGTGTTCTTCTGAGCAGATCTTACACCGGCGTGTGCTACGGCAACTTTTCGCCATGTGTCCAAATTGCTGGCAGTTATAGCACCGCAGTGCTGCACCAAGATATTCTTCCACTGGGTGACTAGTGAATCCTAAATAGATTCTTCCTAGAATCGGGTGGTCATCTTGAAAAGTGAGAATCACTGAGTAAAGTGGACTCGACGTAACTGCTCCATCTTCCTGTCGGTAATATTTCATTTCCCGCCGCACCGATATAACCCCTGCATCTCTCAAGTACTCTAGGAGTTGTTCGTCTGAATACTGCAGAGGCACATGCTTGACTTTCCCAACGTTCCGAGTGTATGACTCTGAGATGAAAGGCTTGACTTCCAGACCACCTACATTCGAAAGCATCAGAAGACGCTTGGCTGAAGCTAAGGAAGCAACGCCGACACTGAAGCTTCCATCTCTGGTCGTTCTGTATGACTGCACTTTCTTTTTAGCAGCGGAAACTACTTCGGCTGACACTCGATTGAGGTTCACTTTCCAGAAGCTATCAGCTTCATCTGTTGGACGAAAGACGACTGGGATGCCCTCTGCTTGTTTCTTCTTGTACGCAACCAACGTAAATGCTTCATCTTCATCCATGTCTTCCTTGTCACTTAGGTAATAAGTTGACGTTTTAGCGTCGAAAAGATTCTCTTCTAAGTGAAGCTTCTTGCTCTCAGCTTCATCGTCTTCCATGGCTGCTGGACCCACTAGAGCCATTTCGTGGTTGTGAATGAGCAAATGTGGTGGCTTTATGATGTTTTGGCGCACCTGTAAGCCCCCAGAATTTTTCATATTGTCCTGCAGTATCACTCATGAAGGTTGACGCACTTGGACGAGCATAAGGCTCGTGGCGATGGCTGCGAACCACCGTAGTGGTCGCGTACTAGCAAAGTCTTTGATAAAGAAACCTCGTACCTGTAAGGCGCCGAGCCCTCGAAGTCTTCTACCGACGTCTTCTTGGCACACCGAGAAATGGATGTCAGCGTAATAGTCCAAGAAAAGAGCAAAAATCGAACACTGCACAAAAACAGCGACCGGACCAAACCACTTCTTCTTCTTCTTCTTCTTCATCACTAAAAATATACTTCACGGCGTGCTGTGGTGAATGCCCCTGGTCACAAGTGTCAAGGTCTTCATCACTGTCAATAAACGATAATGTCAAGGCAACAAAAAGCTCTTTTTGCTTCGCAGAACCATAAACTTTGGTTGCATTTTTCCCGCTTACGAGTTTTTAAGCACTATTTTTATTGTCAAAAGTGCTTGTACAACAACAGGTTGACTAAACTTGAGGACACTTTTCGTTGCAGTGACGATAAGTAAACAATCGTCGTTCTCACAACTCTCGTCTTCTAAAATAAGATTGTCCTTGCAGGAGGCACATGCAAGCTTTTTTTACAGCTGCATGTGCGCAGTAGCCTGCCACATGAGTAATGGCTGGAAGCATGTGCTGCTTCTTTGTGATGTCGTGCTTCCTTACGGCAACACCAAAATATTTCACATACTGTGAGTCATGAAGTGAACCACATCGGATGAAAACATCCAGATAAGGGAGTTCGGGGAGCTCGAGCACTTTTTGCTATCTGGGCCTGTGCTCTAACTCGTATATCTGCCGTATATACACGTGATACCACGCTCCTGACAATTGCCGATATTTCCCAAATCTGTTCTTTAGGCAGTCTGTCTGAGACTTCCCCAGCAACACGTACGAGAAATAGAGCTCTTCATTGCAGTAGTGAGTTACTTCTACAAGGGCATGAAAAGTGTGGAGAAATACACTGTGTGTTTCACGTGTCAGATGGCCTGCATCATGCTTTAGACTTCCCCAAAACTCTAGCCAGTCAATTACGCTGTTGATGAAATTGATCTGAGGGGAAGAGACTTCTCACTGGCTCTTGAAAGCTGTCGCGCAGGCGCTGTTCTTTGTGAGGAGTTTTCCAATTTACAATATTACACCACGTCATAATTATGCGGATAAATTCAGCTGTGCCTTTGACATGTTGAAATTGAGGTAACTTTGAACTAGTGAGTGCTGTATTATTTGTAAGGTTAAAGATCTTTAGAACGAGCTTGACGTCCTGGCGCTCCAAGTTGGACGGATTTAGCGCTTTTACAGATAAAGTGGGAGCCAACCGCAAGAGCTCATCGCTTTTTTCTTTGTACACCTTCTTCAAAGTTCCAAATGATGCTGTGAACACTTGTTCATCACTGCAAAGTTCAGTTATGTCGGGAAAACACATTAAAGTCGCTGGATTTCATGGATTAGGTTAGTTGTTACGGATACTCTTGAGAATATGAGCACTGTATAAGACAAAGGTGTGGAAGGATTATATGAATGTGCACAGACAATAATAAATTGCGGAGGATCAGAAAAAAGGGCATTGCTTTGGGGTTAATGGAAATGTTGTCAGAAATGGCAGTGATCACCCGAATTCCAGCGTGTTCTAGCTCTACAATGAAGTGTCTCAGAACACAGTGTATCGAGTTTTGCGACAGGTAGAATATGCACATCTTTGTTGGATGACAACAAGCTGTGCATCATGAACACGTACGCAATCTTTGCAGCAATTTTGCTGTTTGTGGCTGCACCTGTGACGAAACCACCTTTATATGCGAAGTAGGACTGTAAATTAATCTCGTCTAGCATGAGTGTTACAGTCCATTTATGGTTTTTCAGTGATAATGCTATTTTTAAATGCGTAGCATTTTTTAGCGTTCTTCAGTGACTTTGAGCGTATGTATTTATCTATGTAGCCGCCTACGACTTTTAACTCTCCTGGTCGTTTCAATATTGGTATCGATACCAAACTCGGTATGCCGTAACATGAATGTATGAAGAACATATGTGACTAGTCACAACATGAAAATCATGACACGTATGTCATTATTGTTGTGAATTACATTTCATTGTCCTGTAGCTCTTGTGGTGGTTTCGTTCACATGGCATGTTGCAAAACTGGTATGGTATAGCATGGTTATATGGCGAACACAGTCCACAGGCCCTAACGTGAAACTCATGACATGCATGTCGTGTAACAGCATGACTACATGCCACGCTCATGATGTGCTGGTGGCCATTTTGCTAGCTTCACTTATACCGAATTTGGTATTACGGGACGTGAATGGATGACGAAGATATCATACTTGTGCAAACATGATAATCATTAGATGCGTTTCACGTAACAACATGACTACAGGCCACGATCATGATGCGCTGGCGGCCATTTCTGTAGCTTCACTTATACCAAATTTGGTATTACGATCGCGAATGGATGACGAGGGTATTATACTTGTGCAAACATGATAAACATGAGATGCGTGTCATGTAACAACATGACTGCATGGCACACTGACGATGCGCTCGCGGCCGTTTCGCTAGCTTCACATATGCTAAATTTGGTATTGCGTGACGCCAATGGATTACAAAGGTATGTGACTGGTGCAAACACGGTAATCATGAGATGCATGTCATGTGAAAACATGACTAAATGCCACAGACAAGGTGCCAATATATCAAAGTGACGTGGTTCCTGTGCTTCTGGTAATGTTTTCTCGTCAGCTTTCTTCTTTTACTGCCCTTGCTACAACAGATCATGGCTAGACTTTGCCAGCCTGGCTTATATAGGAACGTGCCACTGGTGACCTTTCTTTCTGCCGCTATATTTTAAAACAAATATATTGATGGAGTACTTGGCAATCGGTGTATCACGTTTTTAGTACAACTTGCGTACTTTGAAAACAAACCTAATGGTGTGTAATATTCGTACACAAGTCAAATATTGTATGATATCTCCTATTTTGCAATATAGGTTGCTAAAGGCCCGTAAGAGCTTCAAGATATCTTCTCGTTTGGTTGGTAACTGTGGTAAAGGTTTACGGGCACTTAGATATCCAGGTACTATTTTGATTACCTACACTCATTAAGGTATTGAATTGCTACATGGAATTGCATAATAAAGTGCTGATGCGACTCACTTTCAGGCGAATACCCCTTCAAATACAAGCTACTATGTGCTATATGACAATGAATTTGACTTTATCCTGTGAGTATTACATGCAATATTACATTTTCTTACAACGTTTGCATGAAATGTTACTGTTGAATTGTATACAAGAAAGCCGGCGTAGTGTGGGCACGCAGCGTTACATAGGGCAACGCACGGACTAAACCCATGTCAGGCAAGATAGGTTCATTCTAGAGTGCACTTTGGTTCATGAATTGAAAGTTCATTAGAACACACTTCAAAGCACCTCCAAAAAAAGTTATAAAGTGAAAGTTCACTAGACTAAAACACCAATGTTTTATCGTGTAATCGCAACCCGAAAAAAATATCTGCTTTTCAGATGCATTGGAATTTATGTGTGTTTGTTAAGCTACTTATTTGCATAAGAATTTAACGCTTATTCATGATCAATATTACACAAATATTTTGCCACACCTACTTGCTTAAGACTGCAGTGGTCAGGAGTTCAGTTGTGCAAGCTTCGGCGGTTCAATGTCCTGACGAACGAAAAATGACCGGTGTTGCCAAGCGACACAACTTGTACAAGAAATATCCACTACGGACAGATGCAGTTCCATTTGGAGCTCACAAAAATCATCCCCTGTTTGTATTATGCAGCTGTTACTGCCTCCCCGATAAGCTTCGTCCACGCACCGTTGGCGAAGGCCATGACAAAGATATTTAACAAAAACTTGATTGTACCTATTGAAGCGATCATCATGACACCGGAGGCATCGCATTTTCTCACGGAATACTTTCATACAACTCAAATGACCTATGCAGAAAGTTTCTGTCAATAGAAGTGAGCTACGATTGGGTGCCATTACGTTATTTTCATGAGGGATTAAAAAATGTTTTGTTAAATCACGTTCATTTATATGGCATTTCAGGACATAAAGTAACATTTGATATATATATAAATGTTAATTTTTATGTATATCAAATATGATATATATATATATATATATATATATATATATATATATAACAGACAATAATGGCAAGGAAAGTATAGGGGAAGTTATTTGCCCGAATTTTAATGTTAGTGTCAAGAAAGAGATGTGGGTGAAAAGATAACTTGCCATGGGCAGAAATCAAACCTGCGACCTTCGACTAACGCGTTCGATGCTCTACCAACTAAGTTACCACGGCAGAACATCGAACGCGTTATTCGAAGGTCGCGGGTTTGATTCCTGCCTGCGGCAAATTATCAATTCGGTCAAATAAATTCCCCTATACTTTCTTTGGCAATATTGTCTGTTAGATCTCAATATAATACGTCAAAACACAAAAAAAACAAATCCATTACGTACACCTATTTTCTTTATATATATATATATATATATATATATATATATATATATATATATATATATATATATATACGGAAAGAGAGAAAATAATTACTAATCAGTCAAGACATATACCAAAACAATTTGTATTTGTATATAGTCCTTAACTTTTGTGCGTTGTTGGTTTCTTGAGGACCAACAGGGACGTGGTGGCCCACTATAGCTTCGGTGCCAATAACGGACAACCTATTGCCTCTACAATGAACGGGAACACTATGAATAGCACCATTGCACCATGAGGGCACGGCGGCACTCGTCGGAGCAGCATGTTTGATTCTGCTTGGCTTGTTGTGCAGGTTGTATTTTTGATCCGACCGCTGCCATGTGCCGAACAACCCGCTCATTCTGGGCCTGCGCTGTGGACTGCCGATTTATCGCACAAGTGGAAAACGCCTGCACGGACTGATCATCTTTTCATCGACTCAGCGGACGGGACACCGAATTGGCTGCACAACTCGGTGACGTCGACCATACAAGATATAAAGTCTCCGGTCGAGCCCTGTCCTCTCAGAGGGCACGGCGGCACTCGTCGGAGCAGCATGTTTGATTCTGCTTGGCTTGTTGTGCAGGTTGTATTTTTGATCCGACCGCTGCCATGTGCCGAACAACCCGCTCATTCTGGGCCTGCGCTGTGGACTGCCGATTTATCGCACAAGTGGAAAACGCCTGCACGGACCGATAATCTTTTCATTGACTCAGCGGACGGGACACCGAATTGGCTGCACAACTCGGTGACGTCGACCATACAGGATATAAAGTCTCCGGTCGAGCCCTGTCCTCTCAGAGGGCACGGCGGCACTCGTCGGAGCAGCATGTTTGATTCTGCTTGGCTTGTTGTGCAGGTCAGTTTTTACAACACGCTTTCTGGATTTCGTTCAAGTTCATACACTGTTATAGTGCTGCCGTGCCCTCAAAGATGTATTCATGTTGTCATAGATTGCTGGTCTGTTTTTCTGCTCCTGTTATGTGGCGATGTGGAAAGTAACCCTGGTCCCGAGATAGAACAAATGTTGAAGGATATTATGCTTCAGTCTAAAGAGCTAAAGGAAGCGGACACAAAGCACGATGCCACACTTTCTGAGGTAAATGCGAAGCTGTCAAAACTAGACGAGGTTCTGAAAATATCGAAGGAAAATGAAGAAAAGATACAGAAGCTGGAAGGAACAGTACAGCGGTTGGAGAAGGCTCTGGCTGAGCAGGACCGGAGACTGAACGATTATGAAAATCGTTCACGCAGAAACAATGTAATCGTCTTCGGAATTCCTGAGGAACCAAAAGAAACTAGGCAGGATCTAGAGGATAAAGTTTTGCGTAAGGTTTTCGGCGAAACACTTGGTGTTTCCGTTAGGTCTGTAGAACGAATTCACTGAATAGGAAGGCTGCAAAAAGACCGCCACAGGCCAGTTATCCTCCGGCTGTACGACTACAACGAAAAAATGGAATTGTTCAGGAACTGCCCAAAGCTCAAAGGTTCTGAAGTGTCGATCTCCCACGATTATTCTCAAGCCACACAGCGCATAAGAAATAAGTTGTGGCAATCTGGATTACAGGACAAGCGTACTGGTGATAAGATGCAATTGGTGCGTGACAAGTTGTTTCTAAACGATAACGTTTATGGGTGGGACGACACAGCTGGTCGCAGGGTGTTTCTACGTAAGTCTTCCCGCGGGGAAAAATGACAAACCCAAAATAAAACTGAGCATGCGCAAAAGACTTTCCGATTGCTGTGCCTGAACGCTCAAAGTGTATGCAACAAGCAAGAGCAACTCGAGCACCTTTTGCTTTCTTATGACCCACACGTAGCAGTAATATCGGAGACATGGTTGCACCCTCAAATTCCAGATAATTGCATATTTCCTCCTTTACACACATGTTATCGGAAAGATCATCAAACAAGAGGGGGCGGAGTTGCTATTCTTGTTAAACGCGAGGTATCATCCGTTTCCTTGCCTGATATTAATAGCTGCCACGAAAGTGTTTTTTGTAAAGCTGTAATTGCTGGTAACCCTATTATTATTGCCGGAGTCTATAGGCCCCCTGGCGCCCCACCGGCTTTCTTGATAGACCTGTACGAGCACTTATAATAATACCGAAATCAAAACATCATTATTGCAGGTGATTTTAATATGCCAGGCATGCATTGGGAATCGATGAAATGTGGTTCTATTGATGTGCAGAGTGCTGAAATATTACTAGACATGTCGCTTGCTTACTCCCTTACGCAAACAGTCCTTGATCCTACGCGCGTGACAAGTTCAGCTTCTTCAATACTAGATCTCGTTTTCTGTTCCACAAGTTTTGAATCCTGTATGGCAACAGTTTTAGATGGCATTTCTGATCACAAATTGGTCAATTTCAATTGTTCTTTACCTCGTAGAACAAGGTCATCTAGACCTGAGCCCGTAGTTGTAAAACAGTATTCTGCTGCAGACGATTTCCAGATTGTTCACTACCTAGAAGAAGCTTTGCTATCATTTTGCGACGGCAGTGTTAACTCGCTATGGACACGAATCAAATTTTATTGCCACTTCTGCATTCGCAATTTCGTTCCAGATAAACTTAAAAAAAGTTGGCCGTACAAACCCCTGGATATCGCGCGATCTAATTCACCTAAAACGCAAAATTAAAAGGCGAAGAAAGCAAAAAATAGCTAATGATGTAGTTCTGCACGATCTAAGAGATACTTTAGCATCCAAGTTGAAGGAGGCTAGGGAACATTATTACACCGAGACACTAGGCCGCTTTGCGGCAGAGAGTCCACGAAAATTTTACCAGTTCTTGCAAAACAAAGACAACCGTATCCCTGATGAAATAATGAACGGAGAAACCGCTGTCACAAATAAAAACGAAATAGCAAACGCATTTAATTCCTACTTTCAGAGCGTTTTCTCAAGACCACAAAACTTGAGTATTATGACGGTGCCAGGTCCTTCAAGCCTAATAAATATATCCTTGGAAGGGGTGACAGAACTATTATTGCGGCTAGACGTAAAAAAAATCGACCGGCCCTGACGGTATCCCAGCTGTTTTTCTAAAGAGGTATGCTGAAATTATAGCTAGATTCCTAGTAATAATATTTGATGTTTCGATTAAAACTAGTTCAGTGCCCGACGATTGGCTGCTAGCACGTGTAATTCCGGTATTTAAGAAAGGTAACAGACTATTAGTCAGCAATTATCGACCAATCTCTCTTACCTGTATTTGTTGCAAATTGCTTGAACATATTATAGCGAAATATTTAAATACTTTTCTTGAACAAAATAAAGTAATTCACAGCGCGCAACATGGCTTCCGACGGGGATTATCTACCACCACACAATTATTAGCAACTGTTAACGAGTTCTCCAAAGTTCTGGACAAGTCTGGACAGGTTGATGTCATCTTTATGGACTTTTCCAAGGCCTTTGACAAGGTCCCACATATCAAGCTAATAGATAAGATGAAGGTTATTGGCATTCCTCCGGAAATAATTAACTGGGTCATAGCATACTTAACGAACAGAAAACAGTACGTAGATATAAACGGTTTCACCTCTGGTTATTTGGGGGTGTTATCTGGAGTCCCGCAAGGGTCAGTTCTCGGGCCTATACTATTTAATATTTATATTAACGATTTAGTTCAAGCCATCCGACCTGGCGTGTCTGTTAAGTTATTTGCAGACGATTGCATAATTTTTAACACCATAAATTCTATCTCTGACCAGCATGACTTGTGTGAGAACTTAATCTACATAAAAGAATGGTGTAAAGAGTGGGAAATGGTAATTAATTTTGAGAAAACTGCATATTTATGTCTGAGTAACAAAATCCGAAAACTGGAGTTTACTTATAATGTAGGTGGATACGCTATCAGGCAAGTAGAAGAATTCAAGTATTTGGGCGTAACGATTACATCGAAGCTTAGCTGGACAGCACATATTGATGATATATGTTCTGCTGCCAGAAGATAATTAGGCTTTTTAAAATATAAATTGGGTCGTTCTTCTAGTTCACTAAAACTTAGAGCCTATAAAGTCATAGTTCGTCCTTCTCTTGAATATGCCAGCATTGTGTGGGACCCCCACACAGCTGTCGTAGCATTACACCTATATTTGCACGCACTAACATTTACAAGTATTCATTTTTCCCGAGAACTGTCTCTGATTGGAATGCTCTGCCCCATGATTCCCCTATGCTCAACACGCCGAGATGAAACTATACCCTTTTCTTGTTGCTTAAGTCTGCTTCTTTGCCTGTATTTGTCCCTTGTTTTTCACGAATTTTTAATGTACATGAATTTTGTTCTGCAGTGAATGTATACTGCAGCGGAAGTGTATGTATGTAGAAGAATTTTGAACTGTATTGCCCTCTCCTGCATGGACCATACTTGGTCCGCAGTATGTGATAAATAAAATAAAAATAAATAAACATTCATGGGAGCAGACCCCCACCAACAGCTCCAATGCTTTTTAAATCGATGTTTTATGTGATGCTTAGATGTCCTCCATCCTGCAATTATACTAGGTTTCAATGTGTTGATGGAGCACACTGCTCTTAGAGCCAAGATGACACTGCAGTTATGCTGTAGTTGCCGGTGAATTTTGCGATGCAGGAACATGGGAGTCATGCAAATGTGCTTTTGCGGGTCTTTCGTCACCTGATATTAGCGGGTGCTGTGACCGTGCTTCCTCCGGAACTACCATCAATTGAGAGGCGTTTAACATGCGACTATGGTCAAGGCTGTATTGCTGGCGTTCCTTTCAAGAGAGAATTTTCATAGGAAGCCCTGGACTGTATGTGCTTTCCGGACCAAGAGCTGGCTTCTTTATCCTCTCATGCATTTAGACCTATCATTTTAGAGCTAGAGCTCCTCTCTATCGGCGAAACTCGAGCTTGTTTATTTTTGCACTATATAACTCACTTCTGAAGAACATCTCTTGAACAGTCTCCGTAAAAATGTTTGAAACGGGACAACTGAAGGAATGCAAAGACGTCATCATGTTCTTTTCCCGTCTTCGTGTTCCAAGTTTTGCATCACAAATAAAATATTCAGCAAAGTTACGCAACAACTCGTCCAACAAAAAGCTCTTCCTTGCCATGCAACCATGCAACCCTTTTCGACAGTTGCTCTCATTGCGTGAGATCAGAATGACTCACACGACAGGTCGTAACGCAATACAGGCGACTCACGGTCTACTCGTAATTCTCGAAAAGAAAAATTATTTTTATAAGACCGTTTAGAGGACATGTGTAATAATAACGCACAGCGTTTAACATGTGTGCTGATATAGTTGTACCACAGAAGCTCCAAGAGGTAAACTTCTATGATTGCACAAGCCATAGCCCATAGTTGCTGGTCTCAGCAGCAAAGCGCCAGTTACCGCTAGTTGCACTTGGTTCCAACAAAAGTGAAGTTTGTGAACAAAACGGAGTGCATTCGTTACATCATACAGTGATCTACTCTTTACCCGCCTTCTAAACCACGACTGTGCCATGTAAGGTACGACAATATGCTTACGATTACTAGAATGACACAGTGGCGTCGATACACAAAATAAAACTTGTCTCGACGAGTGGAATCGAAGGCAACGATTAGGATATGAAATGGCGGCGAAGTGACGGCGGTGAGCCGAAGACTCCGATTCCACACAAAAGGACAATAACATAGAAGGGCAAAAAAACGGTGGCTGAGGACACACACCAAAGCGATGGATTCATAGATATATATGTGGGTAATCACATCGTGGTTCATTATCCCAAATCCACGATGTGATTATGAGAGATGCCGTAGAGCAGGGCTCCAGAACTTTCTACCACCTGGGGTTCTTTAACTTTCACCCAAATCTGAACACAAGGGCCTACAGCACTTTCCCCTCCATCTAAAACGCAGCCGCCGCAGCAGCAATTCAATCCCGCGACCTGCCTGCGTGTCAGTAGCCTACTGCCTTAGCCACTAGAGCACCGCGGCGGAGCGATGGACACGAAATCGGCATTTTCGATTTCGGTTTCTTAGGTGATGGGTGGTTGAACTTTTTTGCTTGTGTCTTTTGGAATAAACTGCGTAGAAGGATGCTTTATGAGCGAAATGACGACAAATAATTGGGCATTTAACATAACCAAAAGTCATAAAACGGCAATTTAGGAAAAAAATTCGCTTTTTTCAATTGGTCTCAGATAGCTTAAAGCCACGCCAATTTATGGGCTAAGCAGCCGACAAGCTTTTTCTTCTTTTATTCAAAATGACACAATGCATCTTAGAAAGCTTCTTACTTACTGCCCCGCCGCGGTGGTCTAGTGGCTAAGGTACTCGGCTGCTGACCCGCAGGTCGCGGGTTCGATTCCCGGCGGCGGCGGCTGCATTTCTGATGGAGGCGGAAATGTTGTAGGCCCGTGTACTCAGATTTGGGTGCACGTTAAAGAACCCCAGGTGGTCAAAATTTCCGGAGCCCTCCACTACGGCGTCTTTCATAATCAAATGGTGGTTTTGGGACGTTAAACCCCACAAATCAATCAGAAAGCTTCTTACTGACTGCTTGCACATCACTTGCATTTCGACAATTTTGGAGATCTGCTGGTATGCTATGCCAAATGAAATGTTTAGTATATCTTCTGTGCTGAGAAAAATAATGCATTATTGTTGTTGCCCCGATTAGGCAACATACTTGCTAAGTTTGTTGGCCCATTATTGATTGCAGAGCATGTGCAACTGTCCGATCAATACTAGACCAATCACTGCGAGTAGAGGCCACAGTTGCATTTCAAGTGATGTACCGTGTTTTTCTTTCGGGCACACGTGACAACAATCAACAATTCGTTAATGAGTTTGTGTGAATCTTGGATGACATCGCGCAGGTCCGCTGATAAAGCTCGGTGCAAAGGACCAGTATCTGATGCTTCGTCAGACATGGAACTACATGCTGCTGACTGAATTGATAGAGTTAAAGGGTAAGTGCCCCTATATACACTTTCGCGACGAAAAAACAAGACATTCTAAAATGTCTATGGCGCAAGATGAAAAATATGTTGAGTTTCTGCTCAAAATGCCCTCGTAGGTAAAATTTGAAAATTACTTGGCAAAGGACACTTTCACAGGACGTAGCAAATCGGCTCTCCTTTGGTTAAACTGTAGAGAAATATTACAATGATGGTTTTGCATGTTATGTTTTCTGTTTATTCGTCCCTTTCAATGGTATCAGCTGCATCATTTGTTTCAGTGTAATAGTTGTAGCACTCTTCTGCTGTCCCGAATATCGTAGAAGGGAGCCGTGGTAGTCACATTTAGCATTACAGATATAAAACGCACTCTGACTAATTTTGCTACCAAGATAAAAGAGAGGAGTGTGGCAAAGTCCTAACGCGTATTTATGGGTGAAATATATGTGAGAAATTGTATCTCCATTGAGCTAGAAATGAGGTCAGTGGCCTAAAAGGGTGGCGTGGTAACTCGCACAGTCTCTGTGCGATTGCCTGCCAAAGTAAGTAGTCTGTCGGTACTTCCGAACACAGTGGTTCTCGAATTTTTGTGAAAGGGCAAATGCAGTGAAGAGTGCACCCTTCTCGCGGAGATGCAGTTGAATATCAAAATATTGTGCGAGATACAGTGGAAGAATAATAAATTATGAAGGCACAAAGTAATGTGCACAGGCACCCGTAAGATGCAGCCTCGCGTTGGGCAAAAGGTTCTGTATCTACACCATAACTAAACCTATGATATGACGTACAAATACGGGTAATAATCTCTCTTTTGCATGTTACATGCGGTCACAACAGATCAAGAGCTCAGATGCACGTTTCCGATGATTCAGCCATAACATGTACTGCTTATCTTATAGAGAAAAGATTGCGAACGCTTGTGATGTAAGGGTGCGCAGAAAAATACCAGGCAGTGCGATGGTTATTCTCGTGTTGTTTGTGCGACCCAATTTCTTGGTGTAAATGTCTGTACACTTGTGGCCATATTCCAAAAGACATTAAGAAAATAAACAGTTCCTCATTCCTTTAAGGGGCTGAAGAAATAAGCAAAGATTTTATAGAAGCTATAGATGCTAATATATGCTGATGTAGCAAACAGAGTCGCCAGGCCGGTAAGTTAAAAATAGCCAAATTAATAATAAAAAGAAAGCATAGTAGCCAACTAGATCCAGTGGCAGTAAAAGTCGCCATAAGTAGCCATGCATGTTTGAAAACTGCTTTCACAATTCTATTTAAATATTTCACGCAAAATACTTTGCATGAAAGTAAATACGTGGAGCACGAGCAACTCACAGTTATTCACACAGCGATTCACGCATTTCTGATATTACCCATCGGTCCACTGCATGATGGCGTAGTGTTTGTGTGGATGCAAAAACGATTTTTCACACAACTTGCATAAATTTTCTTGAAATTCCTAGAGATCGCGACAATAAAACGAGTCTGCAGCATGATTAGCGGGCTCATGATCGCAAATGCTAACACTGAAGCATAAATTGCAGCCACTTTCACAATATTCCTTCGGTGATGTATGCAGAGTCACCTTCCGTACCTAAGCCAAGGTAATGGTACAAGCTGTACGTCAAATTTCCTGAAGGATTGATAGTTTTGTGGGCGATTTGTTAGGATATTCGAAGGGGAGCACTAACACAAATTAGCAAGATACCACATACTATGGGAATCAGTATCATGCTGGTGCTGGAGGAAGTTGAATGTGGTGCGGTTGTCTTATTTTTTTAGCCAAGCGTTTCAAAATGAAGCTAAACATTTGTGCATATGTCACTTGTGTAGCCGTGTTTGCCGAACAGTCGCACATTTTTTTATATAACCATGTAGTTGTTTACAGTGGCGTAACGATGCCAATGACAACATCAGTATTACCAACACCAGAAGCAGTAAGCAGAAATTTAGCGCTCTTGCTTACGAAGATGGTAGCCCTGGCTAGTGCTACGTAGACCAACTTCAGTGGATGGCGCTCACATACAATTGACGCTAACCCAACGTGAGGCTTGTATAGTACGAAAGTAATGATAAAACATAGGAGCACATAAAGCACTGGAGCATTGTATTACATGATGTAGTATTGGCGCATCTAAGTAATGTTAGGTAAAATTAGATGGGCAGCACTGCAAGCAGAAATGACTTTTCATGAACATTATGGCTGCATAGCCTATTTCTCTAGATGAGTTCCGAGACGTCACCTCACCCGGTGGTAGGATATTTTATTGTCATGCAAGACTTTTGCTGCTGGGGCCATAACAGATATCCTTTGCTTTGATCAGATTAACGCTGCTGATGTCGGTTGTTTTCTTAACGCTCTCACTTTTAAATTACCAATGCCGGTTTTCGCCGTTCTTCGGTAGATATACACTTTCGAACAATTATGGCGCATACCCGCATACCACGGCCTGTGGCATATGGGTATGTGCCACACGTGTCTAGAGGTCTGACATCGTACACGACAGGATTTCCATATTACTCATGTCAACACATGACTGTCATAATCCTCACGCCCCCATACTTTCGCATACTAATTTCGGTCAACCCTGGCTTTCGGACGTGAACAGACAGGCAGACAGACACACACATAGATAGATAGATAGATAGATAGATAGATAGATAGATAGATAGATAGATAGATAGATAGATAGATAGATAGATAGATAGATAGATAGATAGATAGATAGATAGATAGATAGATAGATAGATAGATAGATAGATAGATAGATAGATAGATAGATAGATAGATAGATAGATAGACGGACAGACGGACAGACGGACAGACGGACAGACGGACAGACAGACAGACAGACAGATAGATAGATAGATAGATAGATAGATAGATAGATAGATAGATAGATAGATAGATAGATAGATAGATAGATAGATAGATAGATAGATAGATAGATAGATAGATAGATAGATAGATAGATAGATAGATAGATAGATAGATAGATAGATAGATAGATAGATAGATAGATAGATAGATAGATAGATAGATAGATATGGTCAAACTAGCCAAAATTCTCTAAGAAATGCTACGCATTTAAAATAGTGACACAAGAGGCAAAGCTGGCAACACAAACGCTTTTTTAAGAATTGTTAGTGAGTGCTGTGGATGCCGCCTTTGTGTCTCGTGCACTTTTATTTCAGAGATTACTATAAGTGGCGGATGCCCTATTTCCGATGTCAATGAGTGCAGAGTGGCCCAGGATATGGTGCGCTTTGACTTCTGTCACCTAAAATTGTAGTTTAAAACCACGTTCGGGAATGAATGGTACGCAAGATGTACCTCATTCAACAGTTATCTCAGAGACTCAGCCAGGAAATATCAATTGTCAACAACATAAATACGTGCCTAAACCATGAAATGGTTATGAAGGATGCCGTATTGCAGGGCTGCGGAGATTTTCATCACCGGGCAATTCTTAGGGTGCACTGACATCACATATTACATGAGCATTTACCATTTTTGTTCAATTAAAATGGCACTTCGACCTTCGGGTCAGCAGCAGAGTATCCTAGCCACGTATTCGCCGAGGCAGGCAGCCAGGTGTTCAAAATGATTTTGTTTCTGTGTCCGTGAGGCCATGTCTTATTTTCTGGCTAAAATGATTTACCTTTATATATTTTAGTATGATCACCACCATTCAGCAATATTCCTGCATTCGGAAATGCAAAACTATTTCGACTACTTGTTATTTCCAACATATACTTAAGACTACTGACTGCGACATCACCAAATATTGATAGCTTTTGAATTGAAGATACGAAAATTTGTGCAAAAAGCAGCAAAATAGCAAAAATGATTTGATGCTGCCACCATTGTACAAAACTAGTCAAAGGGGCACAAAATGGCGAAACTTGAGAGCCCTGGTTGCGAATACGGCTTTGCCAACTTCTGAAACTGTTTTTCGGATACCTGTCTTTCAATTCTTTCGCTGTTTGGGCCATGGAAGAGTCTCGTTCACGTTTACAGTAAACTGCGCAAAGCACATTCCTAATATTCGATAAAAAGTGAGCGGATCATCTCAGTTCTAAGCAAGCTTTCTCATTATGTTGGTGTATGTAATGCATTTACGGAAGCCAAATAAAATGGAAATTTTAAGTCTACACACTTACGTCCTCCCCAAACAAAAGTGATAGAGTCCACAGGCAGCCATAGGAGTGTACAGTCGAGCTTGATGTGAAGGTTATTGCGCCAGCAACGACCAGCAACTACAAAAAAGCCCCGTCCTATGCAGAATACTTACTCTTTAGGGGGAGATGCTCGTATTACACAAGCGTCACTCGCTTTTTCTTGTTCCTGAAGCTGCGCACTCCAATCTGAGGAAGGCCTTTCATAAGAGCAGTGTGAAGCGCTAGTTTCTGTTCACACATCTTTACCAGAGGAGGAGGAGGTAAGTTTATTTACAGAAAGGCAGAGAGGTCGGCCTGAGCGATAGCTTGCTCTAGCCTGGTACTCTACACTAGGGGAAGGGAAAGGGGAAAAGAAAGATTAATGGATGACGATGGTGAGATAGAGAGGTGAGTATGTAGTGTTCTTTTTAGCTGAGACACATTTCATAGCCGCGCACATAGTCCAGTTGTTTCCAAAAAGGTTATAACTGCTCTTGTGACCGCAGTTGCACTTTTGGTGTTTGGCCAAGGGCCCAACATGGTCTCATCAGTTAATGACCTACTGCGATGTAGTTCAGTAGAAGAAATCAGTGTTTGTCGTTCACGTGCGTATGCTGAGCAGACACAAAATATGTGCTCAAGTGTTTCTGGCACATCTAAGTGTTCACAATTAGGACCGGTGTCACTGCGACCGATGATATGTGCATAACGTCTGGTGTACGCTACACCAAGACAAATGCGGTGGATCATACTTGTGAGTTGCCGTTTCAATTTAGGGGGAATGCGGAACCTCATTTCCGGGTCCCATTTGTGAAGTCGCTGGTGTCGCCGTTCCGGTTTGGTCCAGTGCTGAA